TGACTTACTCGTTAATCCACAATGACAAAATTCTTACACTTGACACCAATAGCAGAATAGTTACCTACTTCCCACCATTTTATTTTACTTACACTTAATACACTATTATCAGTTTAAAAACACATCTAAAAGGTTGGTTCTGCTAAATGATAGTTTGCCATTTCATATGAGGGTCAGAGAAATAAAAATTATGCTGACATTCAGAAGTCATTGATATATTAGAAAATCAATGGTGAATAAATCACAGTTCAATAAGCCATTACCAACTAGTACATCAAATTGTGTGCTTCAGTGTGTATTAAATTGAAGATATAATACTACCTTATAAAATTTCAATTTATAAGTGTGTAAAATAATTTTCAATCTCAAAATATGAAAGGTGTTTGTTTATAATAATTACAATGGTGTTAGTGTATAATAATAAAATAAATAATATTTTTAATAAATCACTTAGAATGGCAACAAACTTAACAATCAAATCAAGTGAATCATAAAATCAAAATTAAAATTAAAATTCATATGATATATGTATCACTTACAAATAGTTGGTTATAATAAAATAAATATATATATTTATAATTTATAGACATTTTAATATGGGATAGCACAAATGTTGATAAAATAGTTTAAAAAAAAATATTTCATCAAAAACCTTAAACACACAACTAATACCAACACCCTTTATTAGTATAATAACTAAAATAGCTAGGAAATATTATTCTTGTTGTATTGATTGCATCCAGTATAACACATTTTTTATTTCATACAATTTTGCTCTATGTAAAAATGTAGTGATCAATTGATATTCTGTACAGGTACGTTGTTTCGTGTTTGAAGTTGACATCATTGTTCCTCCTTCGCACAACACCTTTGTCGTTAAACACAACATCCATTGCAACACCTAATAAACAATTAAGATTTATTAAGAATGTTTTAAATCATTGAAATTAATTTTATTTTTACTGAACATTATAATACGTGTTAATGTAAACAAGACATACTTTGTACAGTATTATTATGTTGGTTGTAAACCATAGAGATTAAAAATTACAAGAGTTAGATAATTGTTATAACTTATAAGTTTGGTAACTTATAAGTGTTCATGTGTTATTAACGTAAGCATAGTAAATTTAAATGTTAAGTTTATTAAATTATTATATTTAATACATTTAAATAGCAATATGTGTTTTATAGGAAGATATTCGTACCAAAACATGAATTACAGTCGGTACATCATAATAAAAGAAAAATCTCAATTGATACAACTTCAATTTTGTATTTTACACCACTAAAATTTTGTTTAATGAGTCATAAACAAAAATATTTCAAAACTTAATAATTAATATCTATATTATGCACAGTTTACTTTTTATGTAAACAACCAAGAAACAACCAGATAGTGATAATTATGTGGCTGGTCTCCTTCTCTTGTATTTATGGCTTTGAGTAATTTAAAAATAATACATTATTGGTAGGCAATAACTCTTTATACAAAATGTAAGTAATAAGATCGACCAAATGTCAAAATGGAACACATAAGTGAAACAACAGAATACGTTGTATGAATAATATTCAATTAGGGTAGTTAATAATTATGCGTACAACTGCATTAATATTAAACACTAACATTTTCAAGAATTGTTTAGTTAGAAACTTTTAACACAGTAAAATTGTTTCTTAAATGAACCAACCAATTGATAGAACATTTTGACAACCATTATATTCTTTCTGTCAAACAGTTCAACCCATAAATAATATATAATAATTGTATATACCTCGTTACTAGTTGGCATTACATATTTTGTAATCCATGACGATGGTGCCCACAGATATATTTGACAAACTGTAGCAGCAAATGATGCATCTAATCTCTAGAAAAAAAAATTAATTTATACATTGGTTATAATAAAGTAACATAACAATAATTGAATAGTATATAATTGAAAAATCATATAAATGATAACTAGGCAAAGTAAATTTGAAAAATCCCTTACCTTGGATGTTGATCTTTGCAATAGTGAGTGAATTAACGTTTGTATAATTAATGGTATGTCACTACTAAGTGCAGGAAGATCTTCTTCCTTGTACGTAGAATTGCGCAACAATGGAGGTTTACCTCTTTCATAACTATAAAATGGATTACTATCAGAAAATATTTCGTATGCCATTGCACCGACTGCCCAAACATCTGCTTTTGAATAATCTATACGCCCAAATGTTCCTGGTCGAGCAGTGACAACCTAAAAATTAAATTAGCATAAACAAGGTAATTTTATTATATTAAATAGTACTAATTTTATACTTCTGGTGCCATCAACGCTATATTTCCTCCACGATCAGTGTCAGCAGTTTTATATGGAAGGTAAAGTCCATTATCCTTATCAGCAAGACAACACCCAAAATCTGTAATGGCTAATGCTGGACATACATCATCACCTTCAGATACATCTAATAAGATATTATCAGTTTTCATATCCCTAAAATTATACATTTATATGGTAAATAATTATATAAATAATATAAAATATATTTTAAATATATTTATACCTATGTGCCACGTTTTGATTAGTCAAATGAGAAACAGCTTCCAATAATTGAGCGAGTAGAAGAATTTTATCTCTAATTTTCAGAGATGGAGTTTTAGATAAATATTGTTTCAAACTCATGTCATACCTAAATCACAAGAAAAGTGTGTTTAGAATTTAATAAGTGATTACACATAAATAAGTTACTTTTTCATCACCAGAAATAGACTCATGTTCCGACCATAACCTTCTGGATTTATTCTAGTTGGTAGAGCTTGAGGATATAATGTATGTGAATCAATCAACTCTGGCACATAATCCGCGAAGCACAAATGCATCATTACAATGTTTGGATGTGGTGATAATTTAATTAAATTTTGATCATAACTATAAAAGAAAAATCTAAATTTATTATTGTGTTAAAAGTAAATATAAATGTAACTAATTATTTTCATGTTAAAATTTGACTTTTTTTGAAATTGGTGACTATTTTCAAGCAATAAATAAATAAAATCTAAAAATAGACTTAACCCAATAAGCCAATGCTGATCTGTTCTAGAAAAATTATGTTGTACACAACGTGATGGAACTGTTTCTCTACTCATGGCACGTAATATTGACATAGCATTACTTTCAGCATCATAATTAAACATCATTTTCACAGCCAAAGGATACTTTGTATTTGATGACCCTTGCTTTAAAATTACGTCACAAGAGTCTGTAAAGTAAAAAGAAACATTTTAGAGAAATAATATAGTCCTATGTTTATTAGAAAATTAGAATTTACATATTATTTCATTAAAATTATTTTTATACTTGATTACGTCTATTAAATCTAATATATTATAAGTATTGATTTTATACATTATTATTGGTAAAAAAGTCAAGTCAAAACAAAAACAATTCAAATACAATTAAACGTCAATTAAATAATATTTGAAATCATTTAGTTATAACTAATTTTGTATAAGTTGTAATAGATAATAAGATGAAAAATATTTTCAATAACAATAAAATAAGTTTCCATTTATAAATATTATAAAATATATATAAATGTTAAGATAAAAATATTTATCCTCATATTTACCTATTTTTTTAATTGTGAATTATTCGAGTTGAGTTTTACATAATTACTTATCAAGAGAGTTATTGATTTCACAATGATAGAATTGCAATATGATTGATTTGAATTTTTGATAGCAAGTATTAATTGTACATAACTGATTAATAAGTGTTAGAACTAGATACCTCTGTCCTCTTCAATTTTTCTTGCTTCATATACAACAGCATTATTTCCCTTAGCAATAACAGATCCTAATTCAAACTGCTTCAAACCCAAAGATGAATTTAAATTCAATCGTTCAGCAACTGTTAGGTTCTTTTGCATGCGGCCTACTGCTTCCTATTAAAAAGTTCAAAAATTAAATAACGACTAAAGATGGTACATTTTAACAATTTACACTAATATAAATTAAGTACTTACTCGGATTTCCCAGCAAACACCTTCCAGCTGGTTTTCATTAGTCAACATACCATTACCAGAAGCTAGACTTATTCCTACTAGTGCGAAAAATGGTCTTGAGTTACCATACATAAGGTGCCTGGCCGTACGCCTTCGCAAATCTGCTGACAGCGAGTTGGTTACTCGGTTCAGCAGGTTGTCGACAAACGCTCTTCTGGCAACGTTCCATCGGTTCTGCCAGCCGGAACTTGGTGAACTGTTGTGGCTGACAATGGGATTCAGCGCTTGGGTGTGAACGTTCCGCGGTGCCACCTTGGTGCGCACCAGCAATCTGATGTCATTGGTACGGTTGAAGCGCAACAGCGCCGTACCATTTCTGTAAAATACGCTGACCGTTAGTCGAACAGACATTCAAAACACCGATGAGCTACACAGACGGAACTGCCGTTACGGATTGCGTGACTATTGAAACGCATCGAACGTAGTAATGTACAGTCGTACAGATACTGAAGACTGAATTACAGAAGTTACAGATTCAGACACTCAGTTATGTTTTTAAAAATAGAATCGTTTTTGATGACATTGATTTCGCGACTCACTAATCTGTTGTTGTTATAATAGGTGGACGTGTGTCGTGTATACTGTCGTTTGTCCTATACTTCTGTGTAGTAATTTGTAACTAGGTAGTAGGTAGTTCAGTAGTTGTATTTTCGTTTTCAGAACATAAACATTAAACACCAGTACACCACCAGATAAATAAAAATAAAAAATGCAGATATTGCTCACCGCTGATTAGGACAAACATATGTTTTGATAAGGAAACCTAACCTTGATCCATAAAATCATTGTGGTAAACAAAACGTAGAAACGATTAGATGTTACTATTTATTTTTATATAAATAAAATGTTATGTATATCACGAGTACCGATATTTAATATTTATTCCTATTTTTTTTTTTATAGTGTTTATCCATAGAACAATATCTATGGACCATATTATGTTATGCCATCCTCACTGTCCACTCATCATCACATCAGTGGCGTACTCACGGGGGGGGTTCATGGGGTTTGAACCCCCCCCCATTGGCCGTATTTTTTATATTTCATATGGGTATCACAATACAATATTTTTTATTATTAAGTGATTAAATTAATATATTAAACATCGAGATAGACAGGACACGTCAAAGGAACACAAAAAATTGTGTCTGAAAAGTTCCCTAAGGCTATATATGTTCACTGTGCAGCCCATTCTCTAAATCTGGCTGTATCTGCTGCTTGTGATATACGATCAATTAGGAACTGTTTGGGTATTGTTGAAAAAATGTACTGTTTCTTCAACACACCTAAACGACAAGATATGTTATTAAGTGAAATTGAAGAAAGTGACTTTAATCCTAAATCGAAATCATTAAAACGCCTATGTGCCACAAGATGGGTTGAAAGATTTTCGGCATTTCATGACTTTGTGGAATTATATTCCTGTGTGGTCAGTGCGCTCGATAAGATATCTGAGTGGAAAGACTCAACAGCTACAGATGCTAATATCCTGTCAAAATCTATGGATTCTGATTTTTTTGTCTCTTTACAAGTTATTAAGGTGATTAATGAATCAAAAATGTTTTTTTTTTGTTCAACTTCAATTTTTATTTTATTATTTAGGAGTTGTTTGGATATGGTTTGCCTCTATGTAAACTATTACAAAAAGTTGAACTTGATTTAAAAGAAGCTGTAGACTTAGCTGAAGTGACTGTGACAAGTATTCAATGTTTACGTGATAATATAGAACAAGAGTTCAATAAAATGTTCAGAGAAGCTGAGGTAAAGATTTTGATAAAATGCAATTATTTGACAAAACGATTATTATTATTTTTTCAGAAAATGGCTGATGTGGTTGGCGTGAGTATTTCAATTAAACGTCAGAATAAAATTAACAAAAATCGAGCAAACCTCTGCATTGATAATATTACACCAGAAAAATATTATCGTATAACAATAGCCATACCATTTATTGATTCTTTTATAGAACAATTAAATGAAAGGTTTTTGAAGCACAAAAATATATTAAAAGGCTAGTTATACCTATTTTATTTCATTTATAAATTAATTAATTTTTAGTATTTAAAATATATTTTTCTTTTGTTAGGATTTGGGTGTTTATTTTCTAAACCCTTTACTCAAGAGTTTGACGAACTGGTTCAGTATTACCTAGATACCGATCTACAAATTGTTACAGCCGAATTACTACTATGGCACACTAAATTGGAGAGAAATAAAGAAGAACCGAAAAATGCATTAGAGGCGTTAAGACTGTGTAACAATGAAATATTTCCTAATATCCATCGCCTGATTAAAATTCTGTGTACTATACCAGTATCTACAGCAACGCCAGAGAGGACTTTTTCTTGTCTTAAAAGACTTAAAAACTATTTACGTAGTACAATGACAGAGGTATTAACTTTTATTTACAAACATAATGTTTGGTTAAATTTATAAGTATACCTAAACCTAATGTATCTGTTAAAATATTTTAGACTCGTCTTAATGGACTCACAATGTTGGCAATTCATGGGGATGTGCCACTAACAGCTGAGGAAGTGGTGGACGATCTGGCAAAAAAGCCAAGGAAATTAGACTTTATATTATAATGTGTTATTGTGTTAAAATATATATAATTTTTTTAAATAGTGCAAAATTTGTAATTTTTATAACTACGGGGGGTGTGGGGGGGCAGAGCCCCCCACTTTCGTATTCTAGTAAATTTTCAGAGCCCCCCCCATTGACATTTCCTGAGAACGCCACTGCATCACATTACGACGGGCTCAGTTGTTCCTACGATTAAAGATTGTATTATGTTTAGGCATTTAGCCCACACAACGATTAAAAATATATACTATATTAATCTACCATATTTAATCGTAGCCCACATATGGCCCACAGCACGAATTAAGATAATAATAGAGATACAAATAATTGAGTAATAATGTGCGCCTTTCTTCCTTGCTCCAAGAAGCCTTCTTTATAGATCTTGCCCATGCTTGACGCCGACTCTGTTTATCTTTCATCACAGATATTGTAGCTTATAGTTTATAGGACCATATAGTATATTATTATATATTTATATGTGTTCATCAATGATCAGCCCTGTGGTGTTACCTGCCAATGCCTGGAGGGGTGTAGCCCCCCGACATTTTAAGAAAATTAAAAAATTATTTCTATGGTCTATGCAAATTACTGCAAATACAAATTTGTGTGTAGCAGTAGAGGAACCAAAACCTGAAATAAAACCACGGCATCAGTATGCTAAAACTTATGAAAGCCATAGTTAAGCCAACTATTTGTAAGCACGATATAGCCCCTCATTAAAATGAAAAAATTGATCAAAAACATTAAAAATTCTGTCATCTCATAAAAAATACGTTATAAAATTATATACCAATTTTTTTTTAGTAGCTAGTAAGTAAATATAATCTATGTACAGTTTTGTGACTAACAAAATATGGAAAAAAAATGACTATTGACTAACAGCCAACAGGTATCTATATAGTATATATTATTATAATGTCATACCTAATACCTACAAATTTATTATACTTCAATATTTGTACCTACCATCTTGAGATACTAATTTCCGTTATCTCTTGCGATTATGAAATGTGTATTATTTATTTTTCTGCAATCTGCATAATACCTAAATCATAATATTATATTATAATTTCAAGTACATAATTATAACGATAGCGCGGAACCTCGAATAAGCTACTACTTAATTTCATTAATGTCACGAGTCTTTTCGGTATCTGATAACTATTGACCATAATATTGTTTTTAGTTTTGATGGTAAAATATCATAAAATTATAACTATAGATAAAATTTTGAAGTTTTTCGACCATAACTTCCAAAGAAAGTTTGATTACATTTTCATTAAGCATGCAATAACACACATTTTGAAGAAAAAAATTGCTTAGAAATTAATCTTCAACTGTTCTATATTTCATATTTTCATCTATAAATAACTAAAGTTATTCCTTAAACATCTATAGGAAAACCAATGTTCAATAAACAAATTATAATTTTCATAAACAAAGTATTGAAATAACAAAGTAATTGAAAAAGCTACAGAAAGCTTTAGCTTATAAAGTTGTCCATATGACATAATTAATCGTTGAAAGGGGGCCCCAGCCAACACCAAAAAAATGGATAAACATGGAGAAATATGTTGTGTATTCAATATTGGGTATTAATATTATGTTTCACTACGTAAAGTAAATTTTAAATTTTGTAAAGTGATAGTTTTCGTATCGTTTTTATTCCGATCGATTTTATTTATAGCCTTAAATACCTTCTCTTTACATCGAACGCAATAGTCGATAGTAAAAATAAAATTTAGGTTTTATCTATATGTTATATGAGTATTCGATTATTACGACTTCATTTTCCATTTTCCGTTGTTTGTGTTACCAGAAAAACTGCGTGAGTACAATTTTATTTTATTTTATTTTATTTTACTAATTTAACAAGACACAATCCTGGATGGTTTAGATTCACAATTGGACCCGATAGGTCCGACCCGGGGAGTTGCTCAAACAGAGATTTTAATATTTACGAAGAAAATATTTGTTTACAAACGGTTGCTATTGAGTATTGGACATACACAAATATATTGTATATATGTATATTATAATAACGACAAATAATAATATGGAGGCAATCCCTGAAACGGTTTGATCGGTGTCGGTGACGGTACTTGACTCAATTGTGAAAAGTGATGTTGACAATGTGGACGACACGATATCCAACATAGGTGAATGTCAAGTGTGATAGCAATATGACAAACAGCACAAGAAAATATGGTAAGTTGTCCGGGCGAGCAAAAGACGTACACTGCACAGGACTCCGATGGTTGGTCTTGGTCTATACATGGTTGGTTATAGTACGAACTACACTACTTAATATTAATATTATAAAAATAGTATATTATTATATATGTATACCAGGAGTGGCCAAACTTTTTTTGATTATGATCTAATGAGAATATTTTGTTCTTTTGAGGATAAGATGAAAAAAAAATTATTTTTTTATTTTTAAGTCTTTATCACTCATATTAATAGGAAACATAAAATTAAAGTGAGAATTATCTAAATTTGTGTGATTCAAATAACATATCTAAATAATTTCAAATAAATTAACATTATACTATTTATACTGTTAGCTTATATTATATAGAGAGGCGTGTGTCATTAATTCAATACATCGTTGACTAGTTAACTAATAATATACTCTGGGGAATAGTTACTATAATTGCTAATCGAAGTCGCTGTTTCATTAACAAGAAGTTGCTGCAAGAAATGATCTTCAGAAATTTTAGTTCGGTATTCAGCTTTTATATAACTTACATGTATAAGAAAATTACATTTCACACAAACTAATTAATCTAAAATACTTATATGTATTTGAATTATACATCCATGAGACAGTTACATCTAATGTAACTCTATCTACTACTACATTTATATAATAATTAATAATAAGTTCTAACAAAGAAGGATCAATTTTGAAATTCTCCAAGAACGACTCAAAGAACACACACACACACAATACAGCGGTAGAGGCGACACACAGACTTATCGTCGTCTGTAGTAGTCGTCTAATAATAATTGTTAATTCATATTATGTTATATAGGTAATTTATTAAAAATAATAAATAAAGTACAACCAAAATTATTATTATCAAGTAGGATAAATTAGTTCTCTTAATTTGAAATGAATAACTACAGATATACTATACTATCAAAATTGTACGAATATCACTTCAGATATTTCGTTAGGTAGTTCAGCGGGTATGTGACAGCCTCATCATATGTCATTATTGCAGAAGACACATCTTGAATATATGTAATTTGTGTACATAACCATAAAATTCGAACAACTCTTACAAATGATCTTCTTTGACTGCAACATCTATAAATTAGTAATTACACAATACATTTATAATCATACTCCATATGGGTAGTATACAAATTTACGAATGCTCAGCAGTTATAGCGTAGTAGTGTAGTACAGTTATAATTTGATGGAAATCAATAATAATTAATAATGATTACTAATATTTGGTAGGCACTAGGCGTAGGACGGAGGAAGAAATCGCTCTCAATAGTGAAATTCATTTTTTTCTTACAATGCACAAAACACCCCCAACACCTAATTTATTTTGGAAATTGATTTGTGTCCCTTATCTTATAGTGGAGGGAGTATTTACACAGTAGCTTTAAAATATTTGTACAATATATACTTATTATAATATAGAAGAGCATAATCCGCGTCGTAGCGTATTTGAGAAAATTGAATTTGGATCAAGATATATTTGATCACCTAAATTAAACATGATTAAACACGAGTTGGGACTGAGTAGTCAATTGATAATACTGTAATATCAAATATTTTGAGCACATGACCTTGAATTTCATTTGGGTTTGTTTTACTACATAAAAAACTTAATAAGACATATGCGTTAGACATATTTCGTGTTACAAAGGTAAAAACACAAAGGTTGAACATAGTATATATCATACAAACAAAAAACATAATGTTTGGGAAACTTTTCAGCTTACCTTCAAATAGTGTGTCTACTGTTCTGGGCATAACGCTAATAAGCTGTACTAACCCAAACTAGTTTTCCCTAATAATTAAACCTAGACCCAACTCATGTACTCAATGAAGTACGTCAAGGGAACATACTCATGTGAGTTTTGAAACTTGGGATCAAACTCGATCAGGTTATCCACACTTTTTTGTCTTGATAACGCTTCATATGACAATTCAAATCATTCGTACGCAATAAAGATTCATTTTTTATATAATTATGATGTATACATTAGTATGCCACAGTGGAAGATTTGAGATTTGCTTAGGGGTGTTGTATGGAGATTTAAAATTTGCAATGTGATGTATATAATAAATTAATAAAGATTTAATAAATTAAACAATAAATTATTACTTATTGTTTGCCAAATTTTTACTACGTACCAAGTAATTATAGCTATTGTCATTTTATTTATTTATTACTTTATTAATTAAAACATAAATGGTAATTAATGATTCTTGTTATATTTTTAATTATAACATTATAAAAAAGATATATTATTAATAAAATTACCTACACTTATTTAGATATACTTTAATACTTTATGGACAATTATAGTGTATTGCACTGAGTTCGCTTGAACTTGTTACGTGTGTACTATGTGTCTATGTAGTGGCTATACAAGGAGGATGGACGGAAATATGTATAAACTAGTCAAGACAATTACGTACCACCTTTGAACTGGTATCTTTCATATTCGGCCGGTTGCCGCCAATGACCGGAGTAGAAACGTCTGATTCGGCAGGCGATTCATCCGATAAGCGTGTCTAATCCAATTTAAAATATCGACAAAAAAGAAAAACATTTTACATTAGTGTACAACTCGTAGAACTAAGACAATAATACAATATATACACACATCCGCGGAGCTGGTATCATCCTGATCTACGTCGTAGTCGTCGTCAGTTAAGTCAAATATGTATTCAACTTGCTGACTAACGGGTGTAATATCAGTCGACGCATATGAAGATTCATCCGAGATTATCTAATACAATTTAAATATCAACAAAAATATAAATATGTCATATAATATAATAGTATAATGGAACGAGTTACGATAAAATGTGACCCAAACATTATTTATTTATTTTGTAGTAATATGGCATCTAGTTTTAATTAACCAAAATAATTTAAGTTCTAATGAATTCTAAATAAGAGTGTTACAATATGTGACCCTTGATGTACACCAGGATATTTCATTTAAAAGTCTCGAACAAAAACATCTATATATTTGAAGTTATATTATTAATTATTTTGTATGTAAAAGATTAACTGGATGATGATGGTCTATGCATGAATGTGTTACAAAAACCTATCATGTAGTTTTTCTTATATTTTAAATATGCGCACTTATGTTTTATTGTTACTAATAGAATTTAAGAATAATATAGGTACGCACAATGGTTGGAATATTATTGTCATCGGTTATCAGTTCGATTGTGTTGCCAATGCGGTATTCTTCAACGGCAATTTTCTCTTCGTCTGAATTATATAGAAAGGACATGACGGGATCACAATTCCGTGCGATTAAGTTTGATAAGTAGTCAATATACTATACCTACAGGTAAATCAAGTTTAAAATATTTTCTGACCAGTGTTTTTTAATATTTCGTGTTTGAAATCAAACTAATAAACTATATTTAGATATGGATTGACTTAAGCAAAAAAAAGAGAATAATATTGGGTAATTTATAAACGGTGGCAAAAAAATAGTTAATAACACAACTGCAGTAAAATGTTATGCTTATGGCCATAATATTTTACACAGATTATATAATCATATATTCAAGATATGTCATCTGCAAATGATAAATGATGATTGACTGGGCTTTAGTCATAGTTAATATCTTAGGTCATATATATGATCCAAGGTTAATATACATTATACACTACACATGGATAGGACGCATTCATTATATTCAACTGTGATCGAAGAGCATATACTATAGTTACCAAAGAGGTTACATGCAACAAAAGGGTGGCTAAATCAGCCTAAATCATATTTTTATTTACGAAGTGAAAACTATATCTAAACCCGTCAAGATACTCATCAATAAGATATCTTAGTTCATGGATGGAAAATGGACACAGACTTTTATACTACTCGTAGTACCTATAGAGGTCTGTGAAAATGGGTTATCTGCAGTGTGACCTAAAGTAACCACTGAAGAAATAGTAAGTTATTACTTATTACTTATTAGGTGATATAATTTACAGTATTAGTCATTCTGAAAGTGCTTATCAAACAACAAATACTAAAGAATAATACCATTGTAACTTATAACCGCGAACTAATAGATATGTCTTAGTTCGTGCATGTAACACAAGTACTAGATCACTAGTTCATTAGATTTCTCGGTCAAATAGAATTATATATTATCTATGTGCCTATGTTCAACGGATAGACACATAGAGTTAGGTTATTAATTAGCAATTTTACTACTCTATGGATAAACATCTATCTGAGATGCAAACAAAAAAAACGACTAGAAAAATGTTTAGGTGAATTTTTTGTAAAATGAGCCTCGTTATCGGAGGCAAGTTATAAGCTATTGAGATTGTCGATCCAAACTGTACCCAGCTCTAATGGATTTAACTCCTGTCTACGAAATATTGAAGGATAAAATAGAACTACATCAGTGACGTTATCCATCCAGCAAATTATAACTTAAAAAAATTGGTATTGACTATTCGACCTTACAACTAACTGAATGTTGACCAATTTTGGAGAAAGTTCCGAAAATGGTTAAATAACAAGAAAGCTTAGAGAAAGTTTGAACCCTATTCTAAAATATACAAAGTACTATATCCAATATCAAACAGCACAGGTATTTTTATCATCTCGGTCAAATTAGTTCATAAAACGAGTTACACAGATGACGATCTCTGTTTTATTAATGCCCAGTTTTATGTTGCTTGCCCCAGTATAAGCTAAAGAATAAATCATATATTTATGCTCTTGACCAAAAACTAATAATATTGTTTACTAAGAAATATTAGGAAGTCAATAACTTAAAATAGTTAATATTTGACATTTTTAAGCTTTGAAAAAATCACTTAAAACGTAAGAAGCTACGTAAAAAAAATTTAAATATTTAAATTTGGGCACAAACAATTATTTATAGCACGTAACCATTTTTCATTTTGGTTTAAATGAGTTTTCATCTGAAAAACGAAAAAAGAAAATTTGAAAAGTAAGATGCTGTGTACTATACAAATTTATTATCTTACATTCATATTATAAAACATTTCAAAATGTTCCCTAATGCAATTGAACATTATAATGGGCCCATTTTGCCTATACGATGCGCCGTGTGACACAGTATCTTCGAGTAAAAAAAACAAAACAATAAAACGTTGATCAAAAGTATCAAAAGTAAGAACCAAACCTTTTAATAATATGTTAAAGCGAAAAATGTCATAATATGTCTAAAGTAGCTTAAAAAGCATAAAAAAATATAAATTTCAATTAGGTATTTCCATTTTTTTGTTTTTAGTTGCCTACACCAAAAAAACAATATCGGTTAAGTCAAAAACTGGTATTGATTAAAAATTCCAGAATTTCCTTGTTTTTTTTCTCTTTTATTCTTTAGAAAACTACTGGAAATTTTCAATTTTCACCTCTCAAAAGTACCAACTTCCCTGCTCAGAGTCTAAAACTATATTATTTATTATATTCTGATGTGAAACATGGTTATGATAAATAATTACAAAAGTAATAATATTAGTAGTTATTCACCCCGTAAAGTTCAATATTATTAATAACAATTACATATACTTGAAAACGAAATAGACAACAATAAAGGGAGGCTAATATTCACGCTATATTCCCAGATACGCTTATTCTACTGTGTGCCATATAGCCATAAGCTTGAAAAACATGTTGAATATTAATGTTTGAAGTATTATAATAAGAAATCAAATAGTAGGTACATGCCTGTATAGAACCATCCTTAGAAAATGAAAAATAGCTTCTCGAAGTAGGGAATGTGGCATCCTTCGGTTTACTCTAACACCACATCCAAGGATTCAGCATTTCGTGCCGGAAGAGCTATTGAACGATGTATTATACATAATGATCGGTATTAAATGTTTTATATAAAAAGTAGGTAATATAGGTAATAATAAATAAATATTTTTGAAAATACTTTAAAACAACAACAATTAACATAGTGATCCCAAAAATCGCACAAAACACATGGAAATAACCATACGCTTATTGGTACCACAAATTAACAATAAAATACAGTTTATGTTAGTTTTATCATTTTTTAAATATTTTGTTTAGTTTTGAGCTGTTGACGAACATCTTCAATTTTCAATTATTTAGTGTTTTTTTTTCTTTAAATATCAATTTTATTAGTTGGGTCAAGAAGGTTGGACAATAATTAATACAAGGCTCCTGCCACATTGATACATAATCAGTTTAAAATTATTAAAATTACATAACCAACATTTTTTTTCTATAAGAATTTAAAATTCAAATGTTGACAAATTGTATCAAATTGAAAATTTACAAATTTTTTTGTAGTTCAAAATTTATGAAATGTACAATTTTTATAACTTTAATGATTGAACATTTAAAACAAGGTAACATATAAGTAATTTAATGCGTAACCTAAAATATATGAGCCGTTTTTTTTAAATAGTTATTTTAAGTTCAAATTTGAATGAAATTACATATAATTAAAACCAATAGCAACGATTATAGTTATTTCTTTGTAATTTAAAAATATTATTCGTGAGTACTTGAAACTTTTAGAATAAGTACTAAGTAGGTATATTAATATATTTTATGAACACATTGAAATTTTCAAAATATTGGTACTAATGGCTAATATAGTCAAATATATTCCTTATAATACCCAATAATATCGTGAAATATACCTACTTAGCACGATTTAAGATAGTATGGTTGCCCAACATAGCAACATATCATGAAAATGTTTCTACCGGTCTAACCCATTGAACTCTATATAATATCATATAGAATTCAAATAGTTCAATGGTCTAACCTAACCTAGTCGTCGGGCAACCATACTATCTTTAACCATTCTACTTAGTAATATTATAGGTTGACAGGCCGCCTTGGCTAAGAATCGTTTTTCGTATATAATGATTTTGTATCATTTAATTAAAATTTAACACATCCATTACACTATTACAGTGATTGTCTTGGCACTTAATGTACACTGTATAGCAGAACGTTAGCCACTTACCCGATTTTTTCACTTTTTTTTAGTTTATTTATATTACAATATAGTATTCGATTTTATGGTTTGGTCTTTGGTTATTGGTTACAATAGTCTTGATTAACAGTGTAGCCAAATACTACAGAAATAATATTAAAATTAAATTTCTTATTTGGGAAACTTGTCGAGCCTTTTCAATATGGCCATACAACAATTTATACGAAGGAGTAAAATATGGGCGGTCAAAGTTTCCCTTCCCATAATCCCATCATGATTATTGATTCCATATTTTTCATTTCCAATTGTTCAGTTTGTGAGTTTGAGGCGTAGTTGTTCGTCGTTGTCAGGTTGTCTACACTCTACACTCTCAAGCCTACAGTCGTCGCCGTTGTTGCTGAAAAAGTAGTCGTCGAGTCTGTTCAACTCTGTTGTCACGTCCGCTTGTCATTGTTTTTGATCTCCTGAGTTTCCATAGTTATTTAACAACTCCGAGCCAACATCAAATTTCAAACGTTTAATTCAACATATTATTCTAAGGTAATTATTTAATTATAATGTATTATCAACTTGTTAAAATTTGTTAATTTTCTGCATGTTAATCGGCCGATGTTCACTCGTGACGACTCGTCCCCGCAATCAAGCGATATTATACTTTTATTATTTTGAATAACTATTTTTTCGGAAAAATGTTAGTTTCCCTATGTTTAAAGGCAGGTACTCCCCGATACTGGATAGTATCCAGTGGATACGACATTAGCCAGGCCCGCCGCCATTGTTGTATTGTGTTGTACAATACTACAATTGTAAGTTGCGTAGTCATCCGGCCAAGGTCGGATTTCCTTTGTCTCTGTTGGCTGTTATGTGACATAACTTAATATTATATCGATCGTTGTTTACAGAATATAATGTTATAAATAGTATTATACTGTTATGTATTGGTTATACCTATCTTGCACAATTACTTATGCAATTATGTAATTTTTAAATTGGTTCACGGTTATCACAAGTTCAACAAAACTGATAATATTTAATAAAGTTATTTAAGAGGCAATTCATCGCAGACATTTTGATTTTTTTCATTCAAACTCATTTCAGTATTATTTTATCGTTTCATTAAATATTTGATGCGGTTTGGATATTTTTATAATAAAGTGTATGCTTACTTGGTTCTTAAGCCATTACCCCAGTTATTACAATATTAATCAGAATATCATATTTCAATGTTCCTTTGTATAATTTAAATTAAACAAGTTCGAGAAGCTCACGCTGCGACCATCCTTCATTCCTGGTTTCTATTTACAGTTTTTAATACAACACAATAAATTTATAATTCCTTATTCAACTTATGTACAGTAACTAAAGACAATAAATAAGTACCTAAAAATATCAACAACCATAAATATATACTGGTAAATATTGTATGGACAGTTTTTTGTTGTACGGACTTACTCTATATAGTGGCCTTCCATTTGAATTCTTTGTCTCTATAGAAATTCAGAAAGAGTAGTATATTCATTTATTAAATTACCAGTTCAAGTGTGCCTTTTGTTCCTTGTTTTTGACATGGTTTTAATAAATAAGTAAGATTCATACATTTTTGAGAAATATATTTATATTTATAATGTACAATGTTTAGAATATTAAGATGAATGATGGAACATGACAAGTATATTAAGACTTGGTATGTTATATTTCATAGATTTCAACTAGGTATTAAGTAGATGTATGCAAACGTGTACCTATATTATATAAACTTGTTTCACGGGGCAGCTATTTAGTCCCATGATCAGTTTTGCAAGAATGCCACTTGGTACGTCAGTTATTATATTAGCATTCTTGTTTTTATTTATTCAAGGCTTATTTCAAGGTTGGTTTTTTTAATCATTAATCTAAGGAAAAAAGAATAGTTTATGGAGTAATTTTAAGTACCTATATAGAATACAGGTTTTTGCTATCTAGTCATATGATATTTTACTGTAATATGCACTATGCACTCTTCCCTTAAACTATCATTTTTCCAACATTATGAATACCTACAGTATTATAAATATTGTTAAAAATGTTAAATAATTACAACCCTGAACATACATTGGATGTGGTAAAAAGTATTAATTTTTCAATTTTAAATGTTATCAAAATTAAAATTTAAGCTCAAATATTTTCATTTAAATTTAAATGCTTACCTTAAACAGATTATAAGGAATAGCTTAGGTACACAACCAGAGGTTTATTACAACTTATAAGCTTGCATTATTATCCATATTCTTTTTTAATATAGTAACTTGCATTGTTTCCACAATTAATACAACATTCATTCTTATATTCGGTCAAAAACCAATCAATGTTACAAAATATCAACTATTTTGATTTAAAGTATTTATATTCAAAAAAAATCAGGTATAATTGTTATCCTATCTAGCCTTAAGGTAATCAGTTTAAGCTTCTAAGGTATACATTTCAGTACTTTTATTGCAAATTATAATACTTTTTAACTTTATACCATATAACAGGGTTCTCTACACTCTAAAATTTGACCCCATGAGATTGGACTTTGCTTAATCCAGACACCCGCTTAATAAAACGTAAACACATATTTAGTCCCAATTGATCCGATTAAATGGGGCTACTGTATGTATAATATATGATGTTGATTATTTATAATATATAATATAATATTCGTCATGACTTGAATATTGGTTATTGTATTTTATAAATAAAGCTTCAATGTAGTATTTTAAATATTCAATAGATTTGTTTTATAGCAAAAAGAAATAATTTTAGATTAATCATTATTAAATTCAAATTAATGAAAGGGTTGGCACTGAATTATTGAAGATGACCCCTAACATCACCCAATTACTTAATAATACCCAATAAAATATATATCATCTGAAAAAACTTATTTGTGTTTCAATGTTTTTAAAACAATTCACATCCTCCAGGTTAAGATTGATTGGTTTGTCATATCATAAAGATATAAATTTAAATGTTGAAAATTGTAAAATTATTTTAACTAGCTATAAGTAGCTTAATAAACTATACATATAGTTATAACAATGTAATTATTGTACCAATATTAATTTTGTTATGTTGTTATTTTCAGGCTCAAGATGCAAATCTTTGTGAAAACTCTGACTGGCAAAACCATCACTTTGGAAGTAGAATCTTCGGACTCTATTGAAAATGTGAAAGCTAAAATCCAAGACAAGGAAGGAATCCCACCAGACCAACAGCGATTGATCTTCGCCGGAAAACAATTGGAAGATGGCCGTACATTATCTGACTACAATATTCAGAAAGAATCTACACTTCACTTAGTACTCCGTCTTCGTGGAGGAATGCAAATTTTTGTGAAAACTCTTACTGGCAAAACCATCACTTTGGAAGTAGAATCTTCGGACTCTATTGAAAATGTGAAAGCTAAAATCCAAGACAAGGAAGGAATCCCACCAGACCAACAGCGATTGATCTTCGCCGGAAAACAATTGGAAGATGGCCGTACATTATCTGACTACAATATTCAGAAAGAATCTACACTTCACTTAGTACTCCGTCTTCGTGGAGGAATGCAAATTTTTGTGAAAACTCTTACTGGCAAAACCATCACTTTGGAAGTAGAATCTTCGGACTCTATTGAAAATGTGAAAGCTAAAATCCAAGACAAGGAAGGAATCCCACCAGACCAACAGCGATTGATCTTCGCCGGAAAACAATTGGAAGATGGCCGTACATTATCTGACTACAATATTCAGAAAGAATCTACACTTCACTTAGTACTCCGTCTTCGTGGAGGAATGCAAATTTTTGTGAAAACTCTTACTGGCAAAACCATCACTTTGGAAGTAGAATCTTCGGACTCTATTGAAAATGTGAAAGCTAAAATCCAAGACAAGGAAGGAATCCCACCAGACCAACAGCGATTGATCTTCGCCGGAAAACAATTGGAAGATGGCCGTACATTATCTGACTACAATATTCAGAAAGAATCTACACTTCACTTAGTACTCCGTCTTCGTGGTGGAATGCAAATTTCTTAAACTGTTAACAATTGATCTTTGACAAAAAACAACTGGAAAGCTGTATAAGCATAAACTTTTTACTTGATGCTACACCTTTGAAATAAAATAATAGGTTTTTAGTATATATTACACAAATATAATAAATTATAAAATACAAATCTATGTTTATTAATTTCACACTTTGGTTTACAAATGATATTTGAATATAATATATATTGTTGCTATAATGCAAAAACTGGTACCCTCCTAGAGTACCTATTATTAGGATACTTTGTGAATAAATATTATTGAGCATATGACAATACATTAGCATGCTACTATCTCTTAAGATTTCAATGAATTATTTTGATTGTCAACTTTTTTTTCATTGTAAGTATTTATATACATGCGTTAAAAAAAGTCTAATTCATCTGCCATTATTTATAACCCGTGGTACTCAATGTACAAAATACTTAAGAGCATTTAATTATTAATGTACAACTACAACCATAATAATATAACAACATTTAAAGGTTCAATAAAACGAATACATTTTATATCCTTCACATAGTTAAGTGATGTATAGCTGACCGAGCATAATTTGGTCTAGGCCTTAAACTTCAGGGATATGTAATATGTAACTCATCTTATGCATTTACTGTGGCCTTATATGGACATGACGACTGGATCAATTGTAATAAACTGGTAATTGGAATACCTAGATAAACTCTGCTATAATTGTTCGCTTACATTTCCTGCTTTGTTGTCTCCTTCGTACAAATGTTAGTTAGCAGTTCTCCTTTTGGTACTTGTATTAAAACTTTTAAACAAACCGAGTGTGTAAACTGTAAAGTTTTAATAGTAAACAATTGAAGAGAGAACACATAAAATGCTCTTACCTTTGTTTGACAATTAGTCAGTTCATATAATATTAAAACTAACAACAAAAAAGTCGAACTGCTGAATACAAATTATCTATGTTCTTGTAAGATAGAAACAACACATGAGGGTAGGTGTATGAATTATTACAAAAGTTACTGCAACATAAAAAAACTGTTGAAGTTTTAAAAATCTTTGAGAAAAATATAAAATACATAACCTAATATTAGGTACTTGTAATTTGAAGTAATTCATCCAATAAGTAAATAAATAGTTTTAAAACAATTACATACATGATGAATAATGATTATAAAGTATACCGTGTAATTACTAATCTGTATTAATATACACAACATCTTATGTTACAATATTCTACAATCTCTCTTTACACAAAAAAACTAATGTCAATAGGAATAATTTGTGATATTTATTTTCATACAACTAATAAATGTTCAGTAAAAAAACAGGTTTATTCTTAAATGTTATAGGTACAAGTATAAATTCATCATGATTCTATTTTTTAATTCATATTATACATTAAAAAAAATATATATATTTTACAAACATAGAATAAATGAAATAAAATTCATAAACAAAAGTTGAATCATTCTATATCAATTGAACAACAATAATGAATAGTCACTTGTTGTTTAATGAATATCACACTTAACAACATGTATAACCAACCTATTATGTTGTAATAATTACTAATTGATGTGCAAAATGCAATAAAATTGTGAAATAGCCTTAAGTACTACTAGTACTTAATTTAATAAGGCCAATCAAAATTAAGTATGTAAAATATACTAAAAGTGTTCATCCAAGTTATATTGATGGTATTACTTCACTTTAAAAGTTCATATTACAATTTATTATTATATAAATATAAAACAAAATTACAGATATTTTAAATGTAAAATTATGACCAGGTTGACAAAAAATTAGTACATTCATATTATATTATTCATTTATAGGCAAGGACAAGTTACTTTTCTTCGCACCATTCATTCTCTTTACGTACTTGATCCTCCTCAGCAGCTGAGAAATCATTTTTAATGTTGAATGTTTTCCTTATTTCCTCCGGGGTTTTTCCTTTGATCATATTGGCAACAGTCTTACATGTAACGTCCAATAAGCCTTTGATGTCCAAATAGTTGGCGGCCAATATGAGTTCGAATAGCGTACCCTGATCCACTTTCAGGAAATCTGCATCCCAGCTGGATATGTCATCAGTACGCTTCTCGCGTCCCTCATCATCTTCAGCTGCGGGTGGGTCGTCCTTGTGGTAGGTTGCCCACTGAATGACTTTCTTTAATATTCCAGCGTTCACATTCGGCAATGGGACGTTTTCTTCATCTTCCTCTTCTAAGCCCAAGTCCTCGACCATAGTTTTAATAGTCACTGATGCTTTGGCCACCTCAAAATCGACTTGAAACACCTCGCCATCCGAACTTTGTAATTTGATCATCGGCATCTTGATTCAAATTACAAATGAGTCTTCCTTAAATGACTATGTAAGATTTACTAATTAGTAATTACTTTTCTATCAGATGGTTATTTTATTTTTAATGATCAATGTTGTAATGTGAAAATTGTAATGCTGTATAAAATACAAATATTAAATGTTATACAAACATAAAGGAATAACAATGAACTATGAAAATGAAGTATTTAGTATTTACAATTAATATTTTTATTATTTTATCTTATCCAGATCAGGATAACAATAACATCAGGTCAATTGGTGTTCTTGCTTAATGTCGTTTTCTCGCTGTTGATCCACATCTGACTTTGAGTCTTTGAAGTTTGTACCATGAACTAACTAACTTTAAACAATTTGTAACTATATACCTAGTTACTACATTTATCTTAGTTGATAATTCATGCTTTAAACAGTTTAAACTTTGAAGTCTACTAACCATAATTTGATGCTTCGAGTTTTTTTTTAAATTAAAACTTTTAGTATACTTGGTCTCAGACTCTCAGCTCAGAGGTATACTTATGGTCAAAACCATTAGTCTCGATAATAATTATTAATATGACTATTTAAAATATAGGCACCATTCGCACCAACAAAACATTGAGTATTTGCGTACCAACTGGCAACTACCAAGCTATAGTAACAATGAATTTCAGGTGTCCATCTGTGGTTATATATAGGTGATATAGGTCCATGAATATTGGACACAAACTTGTCACTAGAGTGAAAATAAAATACAGCGGGATCTCTATTCTCTACGAATGAATCTTCGGTGGAATGAATATTTTATGTTTACCACAGTTTACATTACATGTAATACCTTTGTAGTTTAGAAAGTGACACTTTTGTCTATTCCCATTCCAAAATAACCAAATATATTTTAGTACCCAATAGGTACATTCAGTGATTCAACAAGTAAACCTCTAGGCTCTCAGATAGTCAGATGTTTATAGGAAAGAACGGAATACGGTGTCACTCAGTGGCAGGGGCGGCTTCCAGAGACATGGTTAAGGGGAGGGAAGCTAAATCTTTAATTTGAGAAAACTCAATATTATAATATTTTATTTTTGTAATTTTGTTTTTAACAATATACATTTTTTCGGAAATACGGGCAAGGAATAGGGGCTGCTGCCCCTATGACCGCGCTGCTGGGTGTCAGCATACTGCATATACTGCTATTCCCAAATATATTTTATGATATGATTGCTATTAAAGTACCTATTTTATTCTACATAATTAGACATGATTATTGATTAATATTTATTTATTTATTTAATAACATTAAAGCAGTAGATTAAATTAATTTTCGTCAAACAAATTGCATTTTAAAATTTCAATGTGTATTCACAATATAAAAAATACACTTTAAAAGTATCAAGTAACCACGAACAATATTTTCAAAATACAATAAAATACCTAACTGAAATCGTTATTTTTGTTTAAATATTTGTAGGTATTTAATATGGTTCAAATTTATATTTTAGATTCTGAGTGGAGCGATAAATATATTGATTTAACAATTATGTGTTTTACAGCTCACGTTGACTCATTTAAAGGTAGGTATAGGCAAATTTCGATTTGTTCAGTTTTTATTAAATTATAATGCATCGATAAAAGACAGAACGTTTAGATAAGCTAATTGTAGTTCGGATGATCATTGTTTTACTGTATTGACATTTACAAAAGTTTAATAAGTGGAGACAAAATTTATATGTACTCAAAATCTTAAGAATAAGATGTTTCTATGCTCTATAATTTCAGAAAAATAATCTTTTTTATGCAAAAATATTCTTTTGAATAAAAATGTATTGAATACTGAAAGAAAAATTAAAAATTAATAATTAATAAACCAACAGTTATATTTAATCTATATGGTGATATACCGGTGTATCTATTTTTTTAAATTATACTTTAAATGTGTGATTGACGAATTGACGATTGTAACACATTGTTACATACCGAAAGGTTAAAATTCAGATTTATGAATTCATAAAATGATAATAATAACATGTTTTAAATAATAAAAATAAAAAAACATATTGTATACTGTTGAATAACAGAATAACAGTATGTATTAAAGAAATAAAGAATTCAAACTTAAATAAGTCAGTTTTATGAGTTCAAAAAATAATGATTAGAGTCAGTAGAGAGGTAGAGGGGATTTTCAGACTTAAATTTACCAAGACTGGTATGCTACCAAAAGGCAAAAATTCCGAGGTAAAAAAGTCCGCGGTAAACAAGTCCGGTACTTAGATATAATTAGGTAAAAGGAAAAATATGATGTGATGCACAATCAAACTTCCAATTAGTATTAATATAAATTTTAACTAATTGATTTACCTGACGAAGTTATTAAATACTCTTTGTATATGTACCAACAGCGGAAAATTTGGATAGGGAAAGTTCCCGGTGGGCCGATCCTTGTATTAAAAATATGGGCCGATGCACTTGGATTACAACCTATTTGATAACATTTAACTGCATAATAATATCTACTTTGTTTGTTAACGTATAATCATATTACGATTTTGGATGTCATTTTGACTGCACTAAGTAGTACAGTACTACTTAGTACACATGAGTTCATTTATCCAATAAAAATATATTTTTATATTTTATATTCTGAACGGAGCGATGAATGTATTGATTTTATAGTGGTGTTTTAAAAGAAAAAAATTGTTGTGACAATAAATACTTCGATTTTTTATTTCATCATATTTTCTGGTAGGAAAGTGAATCTAGTTGGTCAAAAAATTTAATTGGCTGGGTCAAAAAGCATGAAAATTTAATAAAAGATTCTTGATAACTTGTCACAATAGCAGTTGAAAAATATTAAAAATACATAGGTACGATTTTTTGTTATAAGCATTTTAAGTTCAAATTTGGACAAAATTGCATATTAACACAAAGAATAACATTTATCATTTTGTTGTAATTCGGTTACAAAACAGCCCAATATTACATAGGTATATTTAATATTTTTCCAGCGTCACTAATAATTGAAGAATAATTTTAATTCAACTTACCGGCTACCTACCATATTAATAATAAGTAATAATAACATAATAATAACAAAATATCCTAAACTGACATACCGTCTCCACTCAGAATTGTTTTTTGTATACAATGATTTGATATCATTGAATTCAAATTTAACATCATCCATTACAGTGACCTCTAATGTACAGTTGAGCGACATCCACTTACCTGCTTATTTTAGTTTATATATTTAAACTTTTAACTATTTTAAACATATTTATTATTAAATTTCTAATGATGAAGGATTTTTCATCCCAGGATACATGATTTTTCTTCATTAGCCATTGCATTTACTTACCTTTTGGATATGCGTGAAACAGTTAGGGCAGTAAAAAAATTGATAACTTAAATGTTATGCACGATTATTTTCATATTTAATTCTTTTGATGCTGTCGACTATCAAATCACTTGGCTTATGGTACCAACATTAATTGTAGCCCCTAATTAAAACTCTCTCTTCTAATTGTTAAAATGTTAAATATTTATGTAATTCCAAAAATATAACAATCTATGTTTTTTTTTTATCAACATTTAAAATAATAATATTATAAAATGTAATTAAGTACAGTACATTATTGTATATAGCTACTCATATACTAAAGTCTAATAATGAAAATAATAAGTATGAATTGAAATATTAAATTTAATACTCATAATATTATTTATTCAATAAACAATAACAATAGGTAATTAAATTAAAATGTTAAATTTATAAAAATACTTCCAGATAGTAGTTGTATAATTAACTTTTGTCTTAGGTACATAGGTATTTAAAAATTATTCAAGTAGTTTTTTACAATTGAAATTACAATAATTGTATTTTAAATATTACGGTGACTATAATACTTTTGTCTTGAATAATGAATATTTATAGGTGTTTTTTTTGAAGTACTTACATCAAAGAATTTGGTCTACCTTGGTTTTAGGAATCGGTAACTTATACAACCAATTTTTAGTCTGACCAGTTTTACGAGTACCGCCTAAGGTTTGTTCATCACTTTTGTAGAACATATGACCGTAATTGTTATAATAAGGTATATATTTTAAAAGATTTTTACCATATTCTAACATTTTAAGTTCATCAGTTGCAGGCCCACAATAAATTATAATGACACCCAATGCATCATTTGAGGATCTTGGATTTTTGTAATTAGTTGAACACTTCATACCTAGAATTCCAGTTAATTTACCTGCATCATACAAATTACAACAATTTTCCCACATTTGATCCAACTCTGATTTTTTAACAAACATCATCCACTTTCCAATATCCATTTCATTTGAGATTTCATCAATTCTACTGTATTCTGCTTCTGCGATGTCAGAATTCCTATGATGCAACCAACACTCGTCATTTGTTTCAGATGGTTTTTTTTTTTCAATATTTTTTCTTGAATTAGCTGTACATTGATTTGATACATCAGAATCGACAAATCGACTTTGTTCTGACATAATTAGAAAATTACTCCAAATGGTTATTATTATTATTTTAATAAAATGAAACACTGCACAAAAGTCCAATGTAACTTGTTTGTATGTTATTTAATAATTTAACGTCATAATTTGTAAGCATAAGACTTGAAACAGATTTCATGAATTAATAAATTCTTCTTATTCTTGTTTGTTTGATTAAATAGACAATGACAAATACATTGAAGTATTAAATGATGATGGTTAAGAATTCAATAGGTTTGTTCGTTTCGAAAAAAAAGTGTACATATCTAATAGTATATCTTTTATCTATGGTGTACACTAATTTTAAGTGTATAGTGTGTGAGGAAAGAGTAAGGGGTGTGATCAGAAATCCGTTTTCAAAACAAACGTTTTTGGTGTAGATTAATCAGCTGATCATTTTTATCAATTTTAATTACTGATAATAATTTGAAAACTACAGAATCAACTATTCGCTGATAAGAAATGATAACCATCACAGCAGCTACACGTCCCGCTCTTTGTACGGTGTGAAAAAAGTGTACACTGATGTAAAACTTTTTAAAAACAAACAGCGTGTACGACTACACAGTGTAGTCTACACTATTTAAAAACGAACGCTTTGGTGTACAGTTGTTGTGAAAAAGTGTACACTTTTTGTTAAAACGAAGACGAACAAACCTATTGAGTTCTGTAATATTGTTTCGATATTTTAGTTATATCGATATTTTTTCGATTCTTGCATCAAGTAAAAGTATCGATGATTTCTTTCGATCGGATTGTGAATTTTACTATTAATGCATTTTATATTTTTATCATCGTAATAGGTATAGCCATAATATCTTAGATTCGAGAGCATAGAATTATTTAGATATTAACACAGAACAATTAATAAGGCTCTCTAATCTCTTCTATATCCACCTTGGATCTAAGCATAATATAAAATTTTTTTAAATAATCTAAGACCATGGTATAATAGAGTTGAGTTGTAGACCATAGAGTAACAGTTACTCTGTGTTATAGACAGTTACATCGAGATAGATAAACAATAAATTTTATTGTGTCAATATCATTTAATCTATTCTGTGTTAATATCGCCAATATTGTGATATCGCAGAATCTAAATGATAACACTGGTGAATAATGAATATTTCTAATGGTGCATACCTAGTGGCTAGTATTACCTACTGCATTTGATTAAAACATTTTTTTTAATAGGTCTCGGCGTGACGGCGTCTTGTATTTATTGTGACTATTGACCATCATTGTATTTATTATTTAGTAATTTCGAACTTTTTCAGTATTAGTTAATTGTTATTAGTTACTATTATCGAGTATAATTATTTAGAAGAAATAGATTAAAAATGACCAAATTCAAAACAATTTCTTGTTACTTAACATTTCATTCAGTATTATTTAAATTAAATACAATGTGATTCATCTGGGGAAGAAAGAGGTAGGTTTAAAATTATATATTTTTGTTTTACAAATTCTTTTAACTATATATTTCTATGTATTATAGATTTATAGATATTTCAAATTGATTCTACAAGATATTTTATTCCTTGACCATGAATAACAGCAGTGTCATTGCTGGAAACTCGGTGGTTTTTTTGGATATTGAAATTGCTCAAGAAAAAAGTGAGTTGTATTTTAATACATATTTTCAATGTTTCTTAATAATGGAATAAGTTTACTGGTTTTTTTGTTTTTATTTTTTACAGTTGGCCGAATTGTTATTGAGTTGTTTAATAACGTTGTACCTAAAACTGCTGAAAATTTTAGAGCGCTTTGTACAGGTGAAAAAGGTATTGGATTATCAGGAAAGCCACTACATTTAAAAGGTTCATCATTCCATCGAGGTATTATTTATTACATTGTATTTAAATATTTAATAAAAATAAGCTTACATAGGTACTTATTACTATACAATATGACATTATACAAACAAGACTCAATATTCAGAACCAGTTGATTTCTATTAGATGAGATTCTTCTTTTAAGTTTTTTCATTTTAAATTTTACTATACAAAATACCTAATAATGAAGAACTATTCATAGGTCAAATGATTAATTTAGACTTAAGTTGTATTACGCATTTTACAATGTGCGGTCTTTGTCTATAACCATGCAAGTAAATCTTAAAAGTTGTTATTTGTTATATTTCCTAAACATTTTATTTATACATTATATTTCTGTGAATTCAACTGTAAATAAAATACACTTGGACACTTGTAAATATTTGAATCGCTACAGATTGAGAAACAATGTGATATTGTGACATACATAATTGTTATTCACAACTCAAGGATGAAAAGAAAATTAAGTAGTCATTAGCTACATATTTTTTTGTATTGTCTATTATTAACAGAATACTAATTAAAATTAAATTATTTTTAAAATAAATAAATTTTATTCACAAAAAAAAATAGTCAAATTTAAATAAATAAAAGAAATTAACATTTTTTTCTATTTATAGCTGTTCCAGAATTTATGATTCAGGGTGGTGACATTACTGCTGGCAATGGATCTGGTGGTGAAAGTATATATGGTTTATTTTTTGAGGACGAAAATTTTGAATTGCTGGTAAATTAAATTGATTTTATTTAATCAAACATTATGTTTTATGTTTTAGTTAACTTAAATTGCATCTCTTTTCTTTCTGTATTTTCAGTATTTGTTTTACAATTACAGGTATAATCTTTTTAAAAATGTTTTAGTAATTTTGAATTGTATATTTTATTATGGTGTTAGCCTGTAGGTAACATTAAAAGTTGAACTTAACAGTATTTATGATTAAATTAAATAAATTTACAATAAGAAAAATATTTAAAATACTTATAGATATATTTTGAGGTATAATCAATAGTATAATTCATTAAATCAGATTTCACTTTTTTAAATTGATTTTTTCTGCACAATATATAAATTTTACTTAAATGTAGTATATCTGCAGTTAGAGAGGGATGTATATTAAAGCTAGTTAATTTATACATTTTAAACCAAATTGTGCTTACTATGGAACTAAAAAATTTTAAAGCATGTCTTATTTATGTAAAAATGTATGATTTTGAATAATATCCTCTTTTCAAAATAATGGTAATCTAAAAACTTGAGCTCAAGAACGTGGCTTTGTTCAAAAGCACTACCCTCGCGTGTTGACTCGGTGGGGAAAATGTCTGACTATCAGGTACAAAAACTTTACCACCAACTACTATTCTTATTTTGAATAGAGTATAGTGATTTTATAAGATTAGCAACAACTATATTGTAATATTGTACTATAAAATATAAATGAAGACTTCTTAGCACCTCATTGGAGATAGAGTGGGTTTTACTAAGGCTTAAGAAATATAGGTCTAAATCATAGTTTTCATTAATTTGAACTAAGTATGTAGATCAGTTTAATACCAGATTTTATACCTATCATACATTAATGAATTCCACATTAATATTTTTAATAATGTAATACAATATTATTTTGTTTAATGTACTATGTATTTACTCCTCATTTTAGCATGAAGAACCTGGAGTTCTGAGTATGGCAAATACTGGTCATAAAAATACTAATAATTCTCAGTTTTTCATCACAACTGCTCCATGTTCACATTTGGATGGCAAGAATGTGGTTTTTGGAAAAGTAAAAAAAGGATTTTGTGTGGTTCAAACAATTTCCGCCACTACTACGAATAATGATATCCCAATTAATGTAAGTAAATTATTGATAATATGTGTTCTTTTAACTAGTTAGATTATACCTATATTCAGTACCTAATATATTTTTCATATTAAAAATTATGAATTGTTTTGTTAAATATAAAAAACCTTTATCTATATTGTATACATTATATAATGTGCCCACTGACTAGAATTTCAACAGTCCTGGAAAGCAATTGGTAAGGCTTGTTGACAAAGTTATATGTTTAGCAATCTTAAAATGTCAGTATACAGACTAATATTCAGTAAAAATAGTAAACAAAAGTTGTCAAGATGTATTACAACAATATTCAGTAATTTTAAAAATCACTATATGCTGCAAGATTTTTAAGAAGAAAAATTAGATACACAGTTGCTACGTACCAATTCATCAACGTTCATTAAAGTTACCTTTACACTTCAGTGTCTTATGAATAAACTGCACATGTAATTTCTTGTACACTCAATATTGAACCATTATGTATTGATACACCTGTCTTCCTTGAGAATCTTGTCGTTTTTCTTTAGCTGATTGTTGGCAACTAATTATAAATTACAATATTTTATAATCATTAATATTTATGTTTTATGATTTTAGCCTTGTATAATCACAGATTGTGGTGAGCTCTCAAGTGATAGTAATACTTGGAATATTAATGAAAATGATACAACCAATGATGTTTTCCCCCCTTTCCCCGAGGATTGGGACATTGAGCCAATTGATCTTGATGTAATTACTTAATATTATGCTCTGAATCTTTTTGTTTATTAACATATTATACTTTTCTCAAGGTAATACAAATCTGTGATGTTCTAAATAAAATTAAAGAATCGGGAAACCAATTTTTTAGCTGCAACAATTATTCATGTGCTAGACGAAAATATGACAAAGTGTTACGATATTTTGAATGGTAAGTATTTTGATTGTTTTTTTTTTATTTGGATTAAGGCTTCAACTAATAAGGTCATTGGCCTGGTACTGTGTATGGGGGAACGGTTGGTTGGAACACATTTGTATGTGTGGCAAGGATGTGTTGCTAAAAACCCGGGTGGTCATCCATCCAGGTGCTAGCAACGACAGCCTGTATGAACTCTTAGAGCGTTGCCGCAAATTGAGTGTGCGATCGTGCCTCACCAAGCCATCTTTAATGATTTATATAATGTATTATAATATAATTTGTTGTGTATGTATTTTACTTTGTTATTGTATATACAATTATAAAAATTATTTATATACATATGTATTATAATTAATTATTATTGTTATTACCTACTATTTGTACCGAAATAATTTATTGTTATATGCTCTAATAATACAATTTAATAATAATTATTAATTATATAAATATATACAAAGTAAGTTACTTAATTAAATATACTGGAACCATATTTTACAGGTATAAAAGTTATCATAAAAATTCTAAGATGGATTTAAACATGCTGGAAACCATACAAACAAATACATTGTTAAATTTATCCACTGTTCATTTGAAAGAGGGAAATTACAAAATTTCAATTGAATTATCAGAACAAGTAAATATTTTTAAACGACTATTTATGGATAACATATTTACATTTATTGTATGTAATGAAATAAAACTGGTACAAAAAAAAATCAATAAGTCTAATTAGGCAAACTTTCTTGCAACCAAATATTTATTGTAAAATATAATTTATATTGGACCATTAAGCATACATTCTTGTGTTAATTTTTTTTTTAAGCTAATTCAAAGTTACTTTTTATCACAGGTTTTAAACATAGATTGTAACAACGGAAAGGCTCTTTTCCGTCTTGGTAAGGCCTATGGATCACTCAATAACTATGAAAAAGCAATTAAATATTACAAAAAAGCTTTGGACATTTTTCCGGATGAAAAAAACATTTTAATTGAGTTAAAAAAAGTAATACAAGCTCAAAACCAATATTTAGCTACAGAAAAAATTCTTTACTCTAAAATGTTTTTATCATAGCAAAATAGGTTTTGGAAGAAAATATAATATACTATTAATCATATTACTTAAAATATTTTATTTTAATATTAATGAAGTGAAGGTGGCTTACATTTTGATAAACTAGAAATATCATTTTTATATCAGATTATGTTAACTTTTTTATTACTTAAAAATAGTATTTTTTGTATTATTTTTATAATTCTTGTTTAATTTTAAAATATGATTGTCTGAACATTTAAATAAACATAAAATCCTTGAAAATCGTGATATAATTTTAAGCAATATACTATTACTTGCACACATACAAGTAAATTAGCATTTACTATTTACTATTGTACAAAAAAGTTTTTACATTTTAGATATAATTTAATTTCATATTTATATAAGTAAAAGAAAATTATTTTATTGCATACTGTAAAAATAAGTGCAATGTACCTTTTTTTATAAAACATGGCAATTCATTTATTTATTTTTTGAGTTTTCTTTATACATTGTATATTTTGTATTGTAATTTTTCATAGCATCAGCATTTCCGACAGTCCTGATAAATATACCTCTTTTCACCTTTGTCGATCCATTGTCAAATCTCACCGATCAATTCTTGGCTCTATTCGACTATTCGTTCCACTTATTGTAATTTCATCGCCCCATTTAAACATGAACTTCCTGGATGTTTTTTTCTTCTAATGTACATTTCTACACCATTGTGGTACCTTATATGGATGGTATACGATGCCATATATCATACCTACTGATGATATACTCCATTATTACTGATATTTTATTTTAAAATCTAAACTTTGTTTTCTGATTTCTTCAGCTGCATACTCCCTGTTTAAAATATCTAAACATTTTTTAGAACAACTAACAAAGACTTGGGTTTCTTTACTTCCGCCAAGTTTAATGCATTCATTTTGCCTACAAAATTTGATTCCATCTGCTATCAACCGCCTTCAAATCTAAAATGTATGACGTATTGACAGTACATAATATGCTTTCCTCTTTTTCTTTTTACAATTATCATATATGTTATAAATATACTAAAAAAATTAAAAAACATTAGTTGTGCAATAAAATTGCGATAATTTTTCTAGTGAAAAAATAGGAATTTTTATAACTAGGTATCTATTTTTGTATTAAAATATTTAATATTTATCTTAAGGGCAATAGGTACCAAGATTGAAGATTGCATATTCATTTTTATATTCCTTTCTATAAGCAATTAATCCACTAAAATTGTTTTCTAAAGTCTACATTTTTTTGTGCATATTAATGGTTTGAATGCATATTTTTACAATTTTATCACCTTTAATTTCTCTGATCTAGCAACTCATATGTGACACGTTATACATTACAACGTTATGTTTAGGTGGATACTCATCAGTGAGAAGGACGACCCAGCCGGGTGAAGTACCCCCCTGTAGCGCAGTGGTGAAAACACAAAAAACAAAGGTAGGTACTCGTAGTCAAATATATGCGTTTTGCCCTGTCCGAACAGACCTAAAGAAGAAAGACCATACTTTGAGTTGAATATGGGTAGTCAGAGATCTTTCGGTTTCCAATAAAATGTGTACCTAAGTAAAATAATAATAATATTATAATTTACTAGCTGCCCGACCTTCCTCCGAGAGAAATTATTTTTTTATAATTTAATTTAAAAACATAAGACTATTTTTGGCTATACAAATAATACAACGATTATAAAATAAAAATAAAAGAAACAGACATCGTTATCGGTGAATATATGAAAATAATTGGTAATTAGTTAATTATTATTATTATTATAATGAGGGTTCAAAACCGGTTTCCTTCATCTCCAAAATCAAGTTAGATTCTTATATATATAGATAATAATATTGTTTGAATTCGAAGATCATAAATATTCCGCGCAGGAATGAAGAATAAAAATTGTAGGTATTATGTTTTCATTCAAAACAAAAATTAAATACTACGATAACAATAAAAATTGTGAATAATATGATTTTTTCCAGAAATGTTTTTTTGCAACGAAAATGAATTGTAAAAATATTTTCATTAATAGTTTTTGAAATAGTTATGCCCAGTTGCACAAACGATCAATAACTAGTTATCGAATCAATAATTACAAAATCGGAATAATAAATGTTTTTCAATAAATGAATCTCTCGGTATAAAATATATTGTTATAAGTTTTTATCGCGAATTTAGATTCATCAAACGTCTAAATACTCTAACCTTTAGGTACGTAATTAGTTAATTTGTGTGTTTTACTTTTTAGTGTATTTGGTTGCTTGTTATTCGTTGCGACGATTTTTATCAATACAAAACTAACCAGCTGATAACCTGATAAGTTAAAGTCATTTGATAATTGATAGCACTTGCCAGTTGCCAGCACTCCATAGTCCACACGACGTCTTCTCGACAGGCGTGAGGCGTTTAGTAACCACTTCTTACTACTACATAGTGTACCTACATGTATATAATATTTCAAATTTGTTTGTACAGACATTAAAATGTTATTCGTTTGTATTAATATGGTATTATACAATCAAATATCAAATATGTGACTATAGTCAGTCGACTTTTAAATTTTTTGTATAATAGTTATAGAAAAGGTATTTAAATCTGTGAAATTTTAGAAATGGCTTCAGTTCTAAAAAAACAAATTTTGAAACAACTATCAAGGTGAGTATTAAGAATTAACAGTTCTTGTAAATTACTATTTCCAAACCTTGTTGTGTATTGAATATTTGATTACAATTTAGGTTCACCAAAGGCTTGAAAGAAGAAGACATTAATTTAAGTACATTTAAAGGAGAAGGTGAATTGACATCTTTGGAACTTGATGAAAATGCTTTAATGGATGTGTTAGATGTACCATATTGGGTACGAATAACCAGTGCCAAATGTGACAGAGTTTTCTTTCAGGTTCCATTCATGGCCATCAAGAAAGTTCCTATGTCCTTGGTAATAAATTATAATTTAAATATTTTGATATTTGTTAGAAAAACAAAATAGTTACCTAACATTGTGTACATGCATAATGTTAACAAGTATGGAATTTAATTGTTTAATAATGTTGGTCATTTAAGACTAAAAATTAATGATTTAAAAATAAAATAGTTACTGTGGATATACTGATAACCCAACCATATTTGACTTTGACAATTGCAATTTTTATGAAAATATAAAAATTTAATTTTTTTAATTTTTTGTAATCAATTTATATGATTTTATTTTTATGACAATATTTTTTATATTAAATAATAACAATTTTAAAAAAAAGTTACTTTTAATAATTTTTTTACATAATAATCAATTTTAAACAATATATTGTATTTTGTAGACTTTAGATAAAGTTTCAGTTGAAATTGAAACTTGTGATAATGTTGAATCAATGGCAATGAGGGAAAATGTACAGACTGTGCAACCAGGAAAATATAAATTTATAAATCAAGTTATTGATGGCATGACTATACAAATTAATGAAGTTAATATTACTTTTAGAGATCCTGCTTTCCATGCTTCTGTTCAGGTAAAACTTTTTTATCTTGTAAATAATTTTCACTTACAGTTATAGATACAAAAATTAGAATTCCATTTTATTTCTGTATCTATTCAAGTTTAATGCAACTATACTTAAAATTATGTTGTCTTATTGTTATATTTTTATTTTATTTTGATTGTAACTACTAATAGTACCTATCTATTTTTATTAGTAATCACCCAGTTTTAATGTTATTAATTATTATACCTATTCAGAAAACTGTAATTAGAGAAAAAAAAGTTTTTTAGATAATTATCATGCACACATACCTAATATTATAGTAACAACATTAGTGATTACGTTTCAAAAACTTTATCAATTAATTTGTATTGACTTGTTTGGAGGTCATTATATTTTTATTTGTTTTTAAAATGTAATTACTTATTTTTGGAACATGTTTTAATACTATATGTTATAAATCAAAATATATTTTTTAATGAAAATCAACTTCACAATTTTTTTAAGCAGGTATACATTTTGTACACATAAATTAATTAATCTGGGTATGTAGTTTGTCTTATTGTTGAAACTATTTCCTTAGTTTGTAGAATACAAACAGTTTTGATTATTAATTAATGGAATTTACATTTAAAAAAAAGTTATTTTGTTGCATTGTTAAACACTTTTAAGTCAATAACAATAAAATATCAAACTAAATTAATTTGTATATTTTAGATTTTGAAAATATTAGTTCAATCTAAGTCTCCTAACTGGGAATCTACAAATCTGAAGACAACAAGACTAAAAAATGAACAGAAAACTCAAATATTGATATTTAAAGAATTGACCTGGCAGATGATACGAATTGAATTATATTCTACCAATGATCGAAATAAGCCTCCTATTAAATTATTCACAAATGATATAATTTGTCGGTTAACTATTAAGAAGAGGCTTTCAGGTAGACATATATTAAATTATGATGTTTTTAGTATATTTCTAATTCAAAACTAATTTTACTATAGATTGTTTCATTTTGGGATGCAAGTTAGCAATTTTAATCGAAGAGTTGTTGTGTGTTTTTACTGATTCTCAAATGAAAGCAGCTCTCCATTATATAGATTCATTAGCTGGTGTTGTAAAAAAATCAACAGATCTTTCTCGCAAGAAAAAAGCAATTAGAAAACTAGAAGTAAATAATTAATTTTATTAATACAACTTTTATAAATTTATGTATATACTTTGTAGTGTTTACCTGAATATCAAGCTCAATTAGATCAGGAAAAAAGAGGAAAATTTGTATCAAGTTCAAAAAGTTCATGTTTGTTTAGTTTTCATGATGTAATTGAAACATCATATCATTTTGTTGCACAGAAAATTAATCTTCATCTTAGTGATGATCCTGGAAGTAAGATATAATTTTTTAGAATTTTTATTGAAGTGTAGTATAAATGATAAGTTATAACCAAAATATTTTAATGATTTAGGTCGTTCATTACATCCAGATTTACAAAAAGGTGGTTCAATACAAATTGAAGTAACTTGTTTTCAAGTTGATCTATATCCTTATCATTTGGCTGATAGTGATCGATTAC